TTTGAGGCCAGCCTAGGCTACATAGTGAGTTCAAGACCAGCCTGAACTACATAGTGAGACCCTGTGTCCCCTGCACTCAAAAAAAGGACATTTAATGAATTCAATGTTGCTACAAAATATTTTTCTACTAATACATATTACTGCTTTATTTTTTATGATAGACTTTTTTTCTGGGGGTATTTATGAAATTCCAAATAAATGCCCCTGAAAGTTAATTGTTCATCCTGTTTTAGGTCATGAGTTCTGTTTGTTCAAAGTTTCTAGAAAAAATGTAGGAACATGGAATAGTTGCTTAGTATCTTTTGCATTCTCAGGGAGCTTAAATAGGGTGGTACATGAGGTAGACATCTTTGGGTGAGTGGCACATTTATTTTGAGGATGTATCTTCATCTGAGATACTCTCACCTGTGAGTACCTGAACTTCATGCAGCCCCACGAGATCCATGTACCAGCAGTCAGTTCTTATATTATTGTGGGAGTTTAACGCAGCCTCTGGAAAGATGTCTGGCCTGTGGGCCATTACTGAATAATATCACTAAGCTTCCATTTCCTTATTGATTAAAAAAAAAGAGTCGTTCTTTTCAAATTTTTTTCCATGCCAACCTCTTTAGATGACTCTAAAAACCAAATGAGATGACCATAGATTATGTCTGCTTTGTAATGTGATACAAGCTTAGTTATTTTTGCATGGCCTCATCTCTTACTAAAGCTTTCGCATGTATTACTTGATTGTAAGTTCTTTCTTTTCATTATCTTTTATTTATTTTTGTTCGTTTTTAATACTGCATATACTCAATGATATTCAAATTGACGCCACAATTAAAGGAAGAGATTGGGGAGGAGGGATAAATATTAGATAATAGAAAAATTCCACTTATGAGTAATCTTTAATCCACAGGATTTTATAGCAGATGTTTGCATTTTCCCCACCCCACATTACCCTTTGTACCTGCCATGCTGGATAAATAAGAAAGTCTGATGAATTTGTACACTAGTGTCATAGAAACCATGGAAATGAAAGATTTAAATGGTGTACATAGTCATTGGATTTCCCGGCACAATTTGAAATAGAGTGCTGAAATTGACATTGTTGAAACAGTACCTAAATAATTATTTAGGTAACTCAGACGCAAGCCTATTTTATGAAAATGGAATTGGCATTTGTTGAACACATACTGTGTGTCAGGCTCTTTAGAAAGATCAGCTAGGAGCAGACACCTGGAAATAAGGTCTGGATGATATGAAAAATTAAGTGTGGGGTAACTAAGCATACTAATATCTTCCAGAAGAGAATTTGGGAACTCAGAGAATCCAAGGTTGATTATTTTTTACCAGTGAGACTTCCTCATGTGTAATCTGTATAATAATATCCAGACCACTGATGAAATCAGGGCATGATTTGATTGTCCTTAAAGAAGCTGTAACTTTCATGTGCCAGACCTCAGGTTTATCCACCTTCTTAGAATGTGGTCTTCTAGAATGTTCTGAACCCAAGAGAAGAGAAGCTCAAGTTCATGCTAAAAAAGTTCCTTGCCTGACACTTAAAAGTTACAGTTGTGTAGCTTGTGCATACTCTGACCCCAAGTATACAGGCGTGTGTAATTAATTTTCTCCTGTGAGGATTTTAAAAGATGGCTTGAAGGTATATTAAGGGAATTTTGATCTTTAAGGCATATTAAAATGATTAAGACCTCAAAAATATTAATTGCTTTTGCCCACAAGGAATAGATCTGTGAGTGATAATTTTAGTAACACTGACATTTATGCCTCAACTCTTTGTAAAATCCTATTTGTAAAACTGTGTTTAATTTCAGGACTGTGGCTTTTGAGTAGAATATAGTCACATATATTACTTTAAGAAGGAACCAGCAGGTCTGTCTGGTATTTCAGTGTCTTAGCGTCAACCTTACTTAGTAATTCAGAGGTGACTAGAACTGGAGTAACAGATACCGCAGAAAATCCTGCAGCTTGGTTGTAGGAAAAGTCACCCTTCTCCAACTTTTGTCAGTCCATCATGGTTTGAGGGTCGCTCAGTGGAGCGCCAGAGAGAGAGCAGAAAGAGAGGGAAGTAGGGGTTGAGGGCTTTAGGGGTGTCAGCCTGGCTGGACAGTGGGATTGGTTCAGGGAGAGAGGAGATTGCAGGCCGCTCAGAGATGTGCTTTTTATAAACCTCCACCATCTGTTTCCACTGAGGTAGCTTGGCAGAACCTCTCAGGTTTATGCCATTAGTGTACACAAATATTTTCCTTGAACAAACCAGTGATTTGTGCTGGTAATTTGAAAGTCGCTAGGATGAGGTGAATTGGACAGACTCCACTGGGTTAGTTGATAGACTTGGCCATTCTGCTTACTTAGCTAGAATGGTAAGGATGCTTTGTAACTTTCCTGTTTAAAAAAAAAGTAAATTGTGTGCGTGCGTGTATTTTATGGGTAAGAGTGTGGGGAGGGGAATGGTAGGCAGGAGGCTAACTTGACTCTTTTCTGTGTGACAACTACAGAATCCAGAGCCACGTGATCACCCTGGTTCCCGTTCCCCAGCTCATTGGCACTCAGCAGGAAGGATAGCAGCCCCAGGGGAGTAAGGATGGGAGTGGTACATTCCTGTAATCCCAGCTACTGAGGGACTGATGCAGGAAGGTTGCAGGTTCAAGACCAGCCTGAACAATTTAGTGTGCCCTGTCTCAAAATAAATTGTGAAAACAGAGTTGTGTATACAGCTTAATGGTAGGGGCCCTGGTCCAATCCTCAGTAGTGCTCAAAGAAAAGAACTGGTTGTGGGATGGATGGAACAAGAAAACCTTACTCTTTTTATATGCAAAGCACAGATACATACATACAGAACATAAAAGGATAGATATATTTGTGCTATTAAACTTTCATGAGGAGAGTTGGAGGGAAAAAAAGAAGTCTAAAAAGGCTCCTATGGGAACAATAATGAAGAAAGGCTGAGAAATGCCTCTGTTAATTCTACCCAGGCATGAAGAATGGACGGCTTGGGGTAGAAAGGAGGAAATGGAAAAGTTAGGGTAAAGCAGCCTGTGTGTTCTTATGAACTGGAACAGTTGTTTCTGAAGTAAGGAGATAAAAGAGCTGAGATCTTGTGAGTGGGAGGTTCAGAGCCCCTTTGGTGTGAGTGGGATGGCAGTGAATAGCATCTTCCTCAGTGAGTGGTGTGGGCCTGTCTCTTAGGATAGTGACAAAGTTGGTGAAATCTGCTTAATGTCCTTCAGGGTCTTCTACTTTTCCTCCTTCTCTCTTAATAAAAACTACATCTATACAGTTGTTTAGTGGGGAAGCCTACCTAAGCTTTTATGTTGAGGAATTTTTAGGTAAAATAGATGATACATTAATGTGCTGACTGTTCTCGGGAGCACTGGCCCCTGAGCAGGGCCCATCCCAGTGTCAAGAGTAGCAGGTGCATAGGGACCGCCAGATCAGTGGTTCCCACTCAGGGGCTGAAAGGATAGGCACAGTGCACACATACACAAAGGGAAATTGTTTCTGGACAAACAGAGTCTCACAAATGCACATACTACTATTTTAAGAACATATACATGTGCTGCTACACTGAATAAATACACAATAAAAGTATTATTGAATGTATAATTGTTCTTTATCATTTTTTTTTTCAGATACTAGAAACACTGCTACTTCATGTGACCCTCACATCCTGCAAAGTCTGGGAACTGTTGTGTGAGATGTGTTAGAGGGGTGCACACTTGCAGTGTGAGGGGTCTCCACACCAGAACATGATGCATGGGAGTCACAGTCAGGGTGACCCTACCTGTAACCCCTTGAGAGTGCTGGGAGCTTGAGGGGAAGTCCCGGACTCTGTTGAATGACTCTGTGGTCTTTTTTTTGTTCAGGCATCGTACACAAACATTGCTACAAAATATTGTGAGAAACTTCACGAATTTCCTCCCCCAAACCCACACAGATATTCCCAGTGCCAAGCCATAACACGTCTTTCTCTTTTGAGGGCCTATACTCTGTTCTCTTTGAGTGGCCCATAAACTTCCTTATGCTTGAAAACAAAACAAAGTGGTTTGTCAGAAGTGTTTGAGAATGATTTGTTCGTACTTAAATCTTTGTAATTTTAAACTTTTGTTGTATTATTAGAGTGTCATTAAAATGCGATTGGCATGAGCATTTCCAAGTCTGTTGTTTCTTATCTGAGAGAGAATGGGATTTGTTTTAGTCTTCTGTACTCCACAGAGTAGGTGAGAGTCACTTCTGAGTTGTGCCATATATTGCTTGTGGCATTGGATGTGTTGGGTGTCTAGGAGAAGTGCTTTTTTTGATATTGATGTATGCATATCCTTTCTAAAAATAATTTTGTATTGATTTGGGAAAGAACAAGATCCTAAAAGCCTTAACGGAGTTTGTTCTATTTCTATTAAGGCACAGATACAGTTCTTTAGGCCATGTTACACTTATAATTAATTACCATTATGAGCCATGTTCAAATGAATTAAGTTTCATTTTGTTTACAAAGGGACTAAAAGCTATTTAGGAACTCATGAATCTTATTACTAGAATTTATTTTTCAGTTTTTTTCTTCCCCCATGGTGCTATGGATTGAATAAAACACAGTTTGATCTTTGGTTGATACAGAGAAGTAAAAAGCCTCATGATGGTATTCCATTTAGATCTAGGTTTTATGTTGAGGAATTTATTTGAGCTTTAGTAATTTTTTCATTATTGATAATTTATTGTTTTTATAGCTTTATTGAAATTCAAATGTTGTATAATAAACTAAGTGTTTAAAGGGCAGTCTGGTTGAGTTTCCATGTGTGGATGCAGCTTTGAAACTGTCTTCATGCTTGAGATGGTGAACCCCCCCCAACCAAGTGATTTTGTGCCATTTGTCACCCTCACTCACCAACCCCAGGCAAGTTTGTCCTTTGTCACAAGAGACTACTTGGTACTTTCTAGAATTTTATATAAGTGGAACCATGCAGTTTTATCATCTGGCAATGCTGACGTGCATATCATTTTAGTTCTAGTTCAGACATCATAAGAGATCTTCTGGCAGAAGAGGAGGCCTGGGAAGCATCACACAAGTGAGTTCTCATAATCAAGTAATAAACATGTATTTTGAGCTGAAAAGCGATGATTCCATGCAGCTGATTTGTAAACAAATGAATGCTTGTACTTTCTGGTTTGAGAAGATAATCCACACCTGAGGTAAAGATTTCCAATTTACCACTTGTTTCTATACATTTCTGCTTTAAAAGATTGGAGTCCTAGTGTAATAATCCTAGTTACTTATCAGAAGTTGTTTCTGTAAGTGTAAATTATTCCTGTGGACAGTTTAATCCATAAAACACTGACTCAAAGTCATTAGAAACTTTAAATCCTCCCTTTTATAAAGAAAGTAGGAGCTGTCATATGGGAATCCTTATCTTCCTAATACAAAACATGTAAGTCTGCCTGTGTTGGTACATATGTTGTCCTCATTCTCTCCACTTATAACAAAGGGATGGGTCTCCTCCCGAGGCTAATGCTTTCTTCTCCCCATTCCTTCCCTCTTGTCTAGAAGTGCATCAGCTGTGTCTTATTTAATTTTCAGTAGGCATTGGTAGCCTCTGTAGCTACTGTAATGGCAAAAATCGGGTTGTATTCCACAAGAAACAGAAGGACTCTATTGGGAACAAACAGAGCCTTATTAATTTGAGGCTAGCCACCCTTCATCCCTGACTTGCAAGTCAGGGAAGTGGGCCTGGGCCTGCCTTTGTTTTCACCTTATAGGCACTTTTGGTTTCCATGGTAACAGATTGGACTGTTGCAGCCCTGGCCACACCTTGTTTTCCTTGTGCCACCTAACCAGGTCAGGCTCCGGTCATGAGCCCAACAACAATGATTTATACTTTTTTATACTCTGTTCTATATGTCCCTCTTAGATAACCATACATTTTCTTTATGGTTACAGTGTTTATCTAGGGCCAGGGAAGGGATAAAGCAACCCAGGCAGGGTCATTAGGTGGTTATCTGGGCCTAAGTGTTCTTTGTCTTTGGAGAAGCATTCCAGGACTAAGTCAGGACTGCAAAGTTAACTTTTTACAACCCCTCCGGGATGCTTCTCAAAACACATTTTGAGGCTTGCACTAAGACTAGACTTATTCTATCTTAAAATGATTGCTGAGAGTCACCATCCCCTACACTGTGAGTGTAATACGATAAATGGTGTCTACACTTGGACTTTTTTATTTCCTTATCTCCCTTTTACCTTCTAATATATTCAGCCAGTCCTATCATCCTTCTGAACTTCACCAGCTGTCTTACTTTTCTCTCATTGCTGAGACAAAATGCCCAACACCCAGAATTAAGGAAGGAAAGGCTTATTTAGCTCACAGTTTGTGGAGGTTGCAGTCCATACTCGGCTGGCTCCAAGGCAAAGTGGCACGTGGCAGAGGGCAACAGTTCACGGTGGGGGAAGACAGCAAAAGCAACAAGAGCAAAAAGGTGGCGGGGGGGCGCGGAAGGAGGAGGAAGTCTCTTCTTGCACAGGCTCAGGATCTAGAACTGCTGAGTCACTTAGCTAAGCCTCTAGACTCCTCAAGTTGACACAGTGTATCAACCATAACACCAGCCCACTGAAGACCTCCAAGTGTTGCTAAATCCAAAGGACAGTTTTGAAACCTCCTCATACATGGCTTCTTAGCAATATCTGATACTACAGATCTGTTCACTTTCCTGAAAATTCTCCTTTCCTTGGCTTCTGAGATACAATACTCTGGTTTCCCTCTTACTTTTCCAGCTGTTTCCTTTCTACCTCCTTCACTGGTTCATCTTCAACAAGAACATTAGGTGCTGATGTTGGTCAAGATTAAACTGATTTGCTAGTAAGTTTATGACTCCTGCCCAGACCTTTCCAGAGCTCCAGACACATACCCAACTGTGTACTTGTTGCCTTCTCTTACTTTTTTTTTTTTTTTTTTTTTTTTTTTGAGACAAGGTCTCGCTGTGCAGTTCAGTCTGGCCTTGAGCTCAGTTGGTAGCCCAGGCTGACCTCCCAAGGAACTCCCAAGGATCCTCCTGTGTCCTAAGTGCTGGGATTACAGGTGTGCACCACCACACCCAGCCCTCTTAGATATTTTTGATACCTCAAAAAATGCAAATTTTTTACAATCACGTATCTACTCTTCACTCCTCCATGAAGGATTTTTAAAACAAAATAAAAATACCATTCTTTTCCATTGTTCCTTTTCAGCCAGTTTTTTAAGGCAAAAAAATCTGGTTGGAGGGCCAGGGATGTAGCTCAGCGGCTCATCGGCACAATGCCTGCTTGGCAAGCACAAGGTCCTGAGTTCAGTTCCTGGTACCAAAAAAAAAAAATCTAGTTTTCATTTATGACATCTTGTTCTGAATGGCCTGTTTGTCCAGTCTGCCCAGTTCCATAGGTTTTGGGGAGACTATCAGTTTGTTACCACCTCTCATCATTCTAATCTATGCTTCTGTCATCCTAACTGCACAACAGCCTCTTAATGTGTCTCTACTCATTTCCTCTGGGTTCTCTACAGTGTGATCATCATCCTGCAGTTACAGTGATCTTTTTACGGTACAGATTTCGTCACTGTTACTCACCCTCTGTGTTAAAAGCCTATAGCTTCTTGTTCCTCTTTAACATGCTTCAAAAGGTCCTACACAAGCAAGTCTCCTCCTGATCCATCTCTTAAATCACAGTAGTGTTTTACGAAAATTTGAGATACTGACTGCATTACTTTTTCCCTAACAATATTTAAGTAAATTCTGGGAGGAGAGGTTACTTTGGTAGTGGTTCTTTTTGTATCATTCATGCTGAACTAAACCCTGACACCAATGACTGTAAAAAACTGTAACTCAGAACCCCTGAGCTAAGCCTATTCTTGATAATGATGACCTCTTAAAATCACTAATATCAGAAAGCACTAGGGATACCGTTCCCACTACTTACGACAATGGATAACTATTAAAGCAGGGAGCACATAAGCACTCATCGAGTCCAGATACTTCGTTTTATAGAGCAGGGAGCTGAGCTTCTGAAAGGATAGTTGACTGGGTCAAGGACCACAGCTAGATAGTGGCACCGCCAGGGTCAGAATCTAGACTGTATAAGGCAGTTTTAACAACCATGATTTTTGGTATGTACTTGCTTATGCCATAACATAGTTTTTGAGACAGGACCAGGAAACACTTTCACAGGCTTATTTTGTAACAAAATGTGGCAGTATTTTGTGTTGCTATAAGTGGCATATTTGAGGTATTAATCCTAGAACATACTATTTCAGTTCTAACACGTTTTCTCCTGAATCTGCACATGATTTAGAGCAGTAGTGGCAAATTGATGGCACACATGTTATTGTGTTTTTAAGATAAAAGATATTACTATAAGGTTGTTTTTTCTAAACTAAACCCTAAGTATTCAGGTTTAATTGCAGTGTTGGTACTTTGTGATAAATACATGGGTTCTGGTTTGCAGTCTGGGTACTCATCTCTAAAAGATTCACCATCACTGATTTAGAAGTCTCATTTGGAACTTATTGCTCCATATAAAGCAATATTATATAAGCAACAGAAAAATTTCCTGTAGTTTGCTCTTAAGCTCTTGTGTCTGTAAATATGGGTTCATATAATTGTTTCAGGTTATATTTTCTTCTTTATGAGATGATCAGGCAGGTATGGGCATAAGAGGACCCAGAAAGGCCCAGGAAAATCATGTTTCTTATACACATAGGTCCAAGGGACATCGTACACCCCTCAGGGCTACATAAGGAAGACTCCAGGCTGGCCAGGAAGTAGGAGACAGTGGCACGGGAGAATATTAGACCAGAGGCTTTACTAAGGTTTCTGCAGGTGAACCGTTGTGGACTAATTTGAATAATTTCAGCAGACTCCAAGTTAAAAGCATAGCCCGTGTTACCAGTACCTGGCCCTGGGGTGATAATGGCAGAGAAATATTACCTCCTACCTTGGAGGGCCAAATGCAGAAGGTATGGCACTGGGCTGCTTAGTTTGCTTCTGGCTGGGTATTTGCTATAGCTAAGGATTGGCGAGCCTTTCCCTAACCCACTAGGGGCGGTTGCCCAGCCAGCAAGACTTTATGTGGTGTCAAACATTGTCATCACACACACACACACACACACACACACACACACACTACAAGCTATAAGATGTATTTACATTGAACAGAGTGAAACTAGGAAGAAGAATGCTTCAGTGATGTCATTTCATGTTTCATGCCCTGGTATCCTTGCATGGATTGAGAAGAACCTGGAGAAGTGTGTGTACAGTGGGTTTTGTACTCTCAAAACACTCCCTCTTGGAATGTGTGCGTTTTGAACCCAGCCACCATGCTGTGGTAAGTCCAGCCTTAGACATGAGGAGAGGCCAACTGCAGGGGTACTAAGAACCCAGCCATCACCTCTGACTGACCTCCCAGCCAATGTAGTCAGCATCTGCTTACTTGTTGTTGAAGTGAGCTACCTTGGAAGTGGATCCTCCAGGTTCATTTAAGCTGTCTGTTCTGACCTGAGCTCTCCCCAGGTCTCAAAAGCATGAGTAAATTAATGATCATGTTTTATGCCTCTAAAGTTTGAGAATGGCTTGAGCAATAGATAATTGAAACAGACATTAAGCAGAAACAGTTTTAGTTTTTAATTGCTGTGTAACAAACTGCCGTAAACCCTTGTAGCATAAACTACAACCATTCTTCAGTTTGAGCGAGGCCCCGATGATACAGTCAGCTTGCAGGCTGGCAGGAGCTGTGTTAGCTGTGCTGTCTGGACCTCTTTCTCTCCCTGTGTAGTTTCAGAGCCTGTTCTTCTCCATCTGGCTTCTCCAGGGATATCTTCATGTGGCCTTTGCAGCAGGTAGATGGATTTCCTGCATAGAGGAACTGCAGAGTTCTTGACTTACCTATCAATTTATTGCCTCTCAGCTCCAAATTCACCTTTTTTTTGGCCTCTTCTCTGAAAACTAAACCAGGCTGTTTAAACACTTTCCTCTTCCAGCTCTTCTGCTGTTAGGCTTTATCCATGGAGGGCACTGAGGAAGGCTTACAAGAGGAACAGGTTTTGCTTCT